TAAAAATTAATATTAGATAATATTTAATAATTTTAAAATATTTAATAATTAAAAAAATAAAGAGATAAGATAAAATATATAAGTGAAATAAGAAAAAAATATAAGAAATTTTAAATTCTTATTTTTTGGGAGAATTTGAAGTTTTACTATTTAAGAAATTTCACAAATGCTTGAATTTCAAATTTTTTGTAAATTCTTCATCCAAACAAAATATTTCACCTCAAATAATTTAAAATTTTTCAAATAAATGAATTACTTCATTTAAATTCTTCATTCAAACACACTCTTAGATGAATTGGTCTTGCACATATTTTTTAGTAAATAAGAACATACCTCATCATGTTTTGTTTTTATAAGGACTAGTTTAATATAAAAAAATTTAGTAGACTAAAAACATAATAATTTTTTAGAGAGATTAAAAGTAACTTTTATCTTATTATTTATCATAAATTTAAAATAAAATTCATATTTCCAAAATATTTATTTAATTTGAATTTAATTATAATTTATATATTAAAATAATTGTTTATTATAAATTAATTTAGTTATGTAAAATAAATAATTATCGTATACATTCTCCAACTTAAATTACTAGTATTAATTTATTATGTAATAAAATAAATTGAATGGACAAGACTCATGGGATTTCACTAATAAATAATAAGGATCAAAATCCTTTTTTATTTATTTTATCTCTATCCTTTATTTTCTGGAATCTAACTCATTAGAGAGATTAAAAGTAACTTTTATCTTATTATTTATCATAAATTTAAAATAAAATTCATATTTCCAAAATATTTATTTAATTTGAATTTAATTATAATTTATATATTAAAATAATTGTTTATTATAAATTAATTTAGTTATGTAAAATCACATTGGCATGCAATTTTTAGGATATCAAATTGATTTCCATTCATTTTTATTAGATATAGACAGTAGCATGCACAAGAAGTTGAAAAAGGTGAACATTTTCAACCACTCAATGTCGAGGGTCAACAGTATATGTGAGTTGATGCCGAGAGAGGCCCAATTGGATTTTGAGAAATGTTATGGAAGGGTTCTCGAGTTACTATAGATAATTGTTGACCTTGCCTTTGTGAAAGTCTTAATACACTTTTGGAAGCCGAAATTGCATTGCTTCGAGTTTCCACACCTTGACTTAGTGCCTATCCTTGAGGAATACGATTAGATGGCCTATGTCACCCAAGGTCCATACCGTTAAGAAAAATCGCATTTCCATAGAGAGATTAGTTGAACTAGTCAAATTGCTTGCCCACCTCTCTACCTTGGAAGGCAATGGGGCAATAAAAGGTTGGAAGCTTACCATGTTGGAGGACCCTCTCTCCTCTTTGGCTTATCAAGGAGATTGGTCAAGCTTCAACAAGACTCTCACTCAAATTGCGTTTAGGACCATCTTATTTCCCTTTCACATTGGGGTGGTGGACCACGCTACAAGGGATGCCTTCTTTTCCTAGGATGTGCACTTGAGGAGTCTCGTGCCTTCCATTCTTGCCAACACCTTGATTTTTGTCAACATCTGCAATCAAAATCAAGGAAGCATATGAGATGCTATTATTCACAGTTATATGTATGGGCATACACCCACTTCTTCGCTAAAGGTCACATGGGACCACTGCCCAACCTGTTGAGAAGCTTCTCCAAGATACCTGTATCGAGGAAATATGCCATGGAGTGGAAAGCTGAGTTAGAGAGCCGTATTGAAGACTCTTTTGCTTGGATTTGTCCTTGGTTCCAGCCTAAAAATGTGTTGATTCGATGTAGTGATTTTTCGAGCATTCCTTTGATGGGTTGAGAGGATGCATAGCCTATTCCCTTACGTTAGCATTGAGAAAACTTAGGAGGACTCAGACCTTGCCAAAATCATAGGAGCTCAGAGGATCGTGTTATCTTTACTCCCCTAAGCAACAGCAAGTAACGAGCGCCATTAAGAGGGCTTGGGACAAGCTAGTCTATTTTGGAGATGATGAGCTAGGAAATCCAAGGGTAGCTTCTTCTAGTGATTAAAATCAATGGAGAAGTGAGAGAGAGGTAGCTAGTATGTCTAAACTAGTCCTTTTAGTTGGGAGCAGTCAGCAACTACAAGTCAATGCCTTGACCAAGAGGGTGGAGATTTTAGAGGCTTAGGTAAAAGCCCTGGAGGAGCAAGATGAAGAATCCACACTCAGCAAACATCAAGGAACACAAAAGAAAACTCAAACATCAAAACATAAAACATTCATATTTTGCCTGTTTCTCATAGGGTTTATCGTAAGAACCCATAGAGCACTCTAATCTATATCAAAACATATCCAATCTTAAAATTAAACATACATTCATGTTCAGTAATCATCAGGGAATATAATAGAAAATTCAGAAGCTAAAATAGAAAATATTCGAAATTAGCATGTTTCTCATAAGGTTTCCCGTAGGAACCCATAAAGCACTCTAATCCATATCAAAACATATCCAAACTCAAAATTAAACATACATTCATGCTCAATAATCATCAGAGAACACAACAGAAAATTCAAAAGTCAAAACGGAAAACCTTCAAAAATTATCTGTTTCTCATAAGGTTTCCCGCAGGAACCAATAGAGCACTCTAATTCATATCAAAACTTATTTATTCTCGAAATTGAACACATATTCACACTTAGAATCACATAAGGAACACAACAGAACAATCAGAAAGCAAAACAACAAACTTTTACAAAGTGTTTGTTCCTATACGCATACATTAAGCAAGGGATTAGGGGTAAATCTGACTTCTCAACAATTATTTCCACACCCTCGAGTGAGGTTTCTCACTTTCCCTTACCTTGTTGAGTAGAAAAAGATGAACGATCAACTCCGGGGTGGTTTCATACTCCTTCAAGTTCTCCGAGCTCTAAAGCTCGTACGTGAAAAGTGAAAACCTAAAATCTGATTTGCTCTCTCTGTCTTTTAAAAACTTAACCTCCCCTTAACGCTTTAGTAAAAATAATTTAACCCATGATTATCTTTTTATTTCCCTCAAATATTAAAACTTATAATTAAATAATATATTTAATAAACACATTTCTTCTTATCCAAATAATTATAATAAATTATAATATTTATCCCCACCTACTCAACCGACACATCACTCTGCACCATTGGCACCCGTCAATCTGGGAGTTTTTTACAATGCTAGAAACACCATTTGTGACAATTTTTAACTGAAAAATTTAATTGCCACAAATCATACTTTATATATATATATTATATATATATATATATATATTACTGTATCTATTATATTATATTTTCAAGTATTAATAAATAATATATATTTATATAACTTCTTTTTATAAGATCAATGAAAAGAGCTCGGAAGAGGTCATCGCATGGTGTGAAACGATTTTAGTTAGACCCAATATTCAAAGTAGATTTTGATTCGAACTCCATATTCGTGAACTTGAATTCAAAGTAGAACTTGCTAGCTAGTAGACCCCATATTCAAAGTAGAGTTGGTATAACCCCCATAATCAGAGAAAAATATTTCCTTCCTTGTCTTCTGTTTCCAACACAAACTTGAAGTTTGTGATCAACACGTTATCCGGTCTTCCATGCCATATTTTATTGATCATTTTTATTGCAATGTATACTATAATTTTTAAAATTAAATAAAAATTAACTATAAAATTACACATTTACTAATAATTGATATATTTAGATTTTAATGTATTTGTATTAGGATAAAAAAAATCTCATATAATTCAATACTTTTTTATTTTTCTTCTTCAAAAGTTAATAAAAAGAGTAAGTGTTCATTTAGAGTAGGTCGATAACTCGTAAAATGTTAACATCTTTAATAACTTTCCAACAAATGTTAATTTTACATTACCAATTTACCTATTAAATTTTAAATTCCGGTAAAATAGATCATTTTTACAAAAATTTATACGAGATGTTACCACTTCTCTTTATTTTATTAGATAGTGTGTCACCTAAAATATATGATAATTTTATAATGTAAGTTGACTCAACAGTTTACTTAAGAAAGTAATATTATATAAGGAGATTATTCATGATGTCATTCTATATAAGTTACATGGCTGATGTCATATGACAAAATATACATGAATCCGCGTGGGGTAACCTCTTGAATAAAGATTATATACATCAACCAAAAGAAGTTTGTCTCTTAATTGAAAAGGCCAAACATGCATGGAACTCTTCATTATTCCCTTCTATGTCCGTCTTTTCTCCTTCTATGCCTATGGGGAAGACCCTTCCTTGATGCAAAAGAAGCTATACCAATACCAATAGGGGTAGTTCTTGATTTGAACTCCTCGATTGGAAGTGTTTCTAATAGCTGCATATGGATGGCATACCAAGATTTCTATCAGCGCCACCCTCATTACAAAACTAGACTTACTCTTCAGACCCGAGATTCTGAGCAAAATGTGGTCACAGCAGCATCTGTAGGTTGTTTTCCCCATCTTTAATTTGAGAAATTCTATGTTACCCAGATAAGTTTGAGTGTTGGGATATTGCTTTTTTTTTTTTTTTTTTTTTTACCAATAGTTTAATTGTTAATCTTTTGTTCATATCCAACTCATTTAGTTATTGATCCAATTAGTTGAGCTGGTTAAACAGTTTTTTTAATATTTAGTACTGAGTTTCATTCTTAAGGATAAATAAAGAAAAAACTTATTGGTCAATGTATCATACCAGCTCTATTTAATTTAGCTCTCAAATTTTAGCATTTACATTCTGGTTACTGTTACTTTATAAGTGATCTTTAATTAGTTTAAAGAATATTTTACATAGTAAACCATAACACTCTGCAGCTCAAGAATTGTTAAATGAGAAGGTGCATGCAATCATTGGACCACAAACATCAGAACAAGCTTGGTTTGTTATAGAACTTGGAAGCAAAGCTCAAGTGCCCGTAATCTCATTTTCTGCCACAAGTCCATCACTTTCCTCGACTCAAAAACCTTATTTCATTCGCACAGCACGGGATGATTCCTCTCAGGTGGAAGCTATATCAGACATTGTCGAAGTTTATGGTTGGCGTGAAATCGTCCCCATATATGAAGACACTGAATATGGCAATGGTCTTAACTTGTATCTACACGATGCCTTTGTAAATATTGGCACGCGAGTGCCTTATAGATGTGTCATTGGTCCACACTTTGGGGTTGAAGAAATATCGAAAGAGCTCGAGAAGGTGAAGTGCATGGCAACAAAAGTGTTCCTTGTTCACATGAGCAGTGAAGTTGGGTGTAAGTTGTTTCTGGCTGCAAAGAAATCAGGGATGATGGCAAAGGGGTATGCATGGATAGTTACTGAAGGCCTATCTGCAGAGGTAGTGATGGGTGGTTTTGTGTTTATTGGATTGTTATGTATTTGTTTTGTATAGATATATTTTTCAACAAGAGCATTTATGTCTTGTTGTTTACCGAGTATTCGCAGACATCTTTACATTGGTACGATATTGTGCACTTTCAAACTTAAATACTCATGGATTTATTTTTAGTCATCACCTAAATGATCTCGTACTAATTGAGACTTTTATGTGTGGTTATATAAACTTGTGTTCTCTATTTTATTCTAATAATGTAAGACTTTGTTTGTATTTCAACAGGTAGACCCTATGATCTTAAAATGCATGGATTCCATGCAAGGTGTTTTGGGAGTTAGGCCAAGGCCAAACCACTCCAAAAGGCTTGAAAACTTCAAAGAAAGATGGAAGGTGTTATTATCAGGTAAAGGAAACAATGAGTCCAATGGGACAAATGTGACCATCTTTGGATTGTGGGCTTATGACACTGTTTGGGCATTAGCCAAGGCAGTGGAGAATGTTTGGAAGCAAAACGCTCTCTCCCAAAACCATAATGCTACAAATACTACCCTTCTTAACACAATCCTGGCTACCAAGTTCCATGGCCTCTCTGGGAGTTTCCATTTGGTTAAAGGACAACTAGAGCCATCAACTCTTGAAGTGTTCAATGTTGTGGAACAAAGTGAGAGGAGTATTGCAAATTGGATGCCAGAGAGAGGGCTTTCTAAATTAAAGCAACCAAAATGGCCAGGTAACACAACAGAGCCCCCAGCAAAGTTGAGGATTGGAATCCCTCCTACAAACAGTGTCAATGAATTCAAGAAAGTTCTGAACTTCTCTTTTGATGTGTTTTTCGAAGCCTTGAAGATTTTACCCTTTCCCCTGCATTATGAATTCACCCCTTACAAGATACATGGTTCCTATGATGAACTTCTTATGCAAATTAAGGAAAAGGCAAGTTTTTTCTTTCTTGCTTTAATTTTTTCTTTTTCACATCCACATTTTTAAGTTGCTTTCTTCTAAAAGATGAGGAAAGTTTTAGTTATGAGTGATGATATTTGGACACCCACAATTTACAAACACCTATGACACTTATTTTTCTCTATCTTTCTCTTTTTGTTATTTCATCAATCACATCGATCACTTATCTCTCTCAAGTAATCTACACCTCAAGAATGTCCAACAATATTTTTCCTTTTTTCTTTATTTTATTCCTTAGCACTTCATCCTTATGTATGCAGAGGTATGATGCTGTGGTGGGGGACGTGACAATTGTGGCTAACCGCTCAAATTATGTTGATTTTACCATGCCATTTTCGGAATCAGGCGTGGCCATGTTGGTTTTGGCGAAGCATGACGAGAGGCAAAACATTTGGATTTTCCTGAAGCCATTTAGTTGGGACCTTTGGTTGACGACTGGTGCAGCTTTCATCTTCATAGGTTTCATCGTTTGGTTCATTGAACACCGCTCTAACTCAGAGTTCAGAGGCACTCCAAAGAACCAACTCGGCATGGCTCTTTGGTTTTCTTTCTCAACACTCGTCTTTGCTCACAGTACATTCCCTAACACTAAATCCATGCACTACCTTGAGACTATTTACATGTCATATCACAATTTCATAGAAGCGCATATAATTAAATATGATTTATCATATCAGACATTTTTTTTATATCTTAATTGCTTCTATCACACTTGACATTTATAATATATTTACATTTTCTCTAAAATGAAGGGAATGAAAACAATAATGATATGTCTTAAGATGAGTGAACTATGTTGAACATCAACGTTTACGTTTGACCATAATCATGATCTAATCTATAATCAGATCACTTTATCATCAATTTGTCTGTATAAACATCACAACTCATATATAGATAGAATCGGCTCTTAGAGAATTTAGGAGTCAAGAGTTAAAGAAGTGTGGATAGAAGTAGTGATTCTATATTATTTAACATAAATTTTCTTTAAATTATATACCTATATAAGCTTATCTATCAATATAATTAATAGGCCCTTTTCTAGAGTTTGATTACTTCATACTTGTCTCCAAATTGAAATATTGTACAAAAGATCACTCTTCTGATTCCTTCACGACTTAATTTTGATATTTTTGAACTTAAAACCTTTGTTGGCAGGGGAGAGGGTAGTAAACAATTGGTCTCGATTTGTGCTGATTATATGGTTCTTTGTTGTACTCATAATCACGCAAAGTTATACTGCAAGTTTAGCTTCAATTCTGACTGTACAGAAACTTCAGCCTGCGTTTATGGACGCAGAAGAGATCAAAAGAAACAATTACTTAGTGGGATATCATCAGGATTCCTTTGTGAGAGGGCTACTAATTGAAAAGTTAGGATTCAAAGAATCTAAGTTAAAGGGCTACGATGGGCCTGAGGCCTATCAACATGCTCTGTCCCTGGGAAGCAACAATGGAGGAGTTGCTGCTATTTTTGACGAAATTGTCTTTATTAACCTCTTCCTCATGAAATATGGCTCCAAAAAGTATCAGATGGTTGGGCCAACATACAAAACCGATGGATTTGCCTTCGTAAGTCCCTGCATCTGTTTTAATCTGTGGCATTTATGAATTGTGATTATAAAGTTTAAATTGACAAGGCCAAATGATGGTAAGAAAGGAGGAGAATTGTTGGAAGTGCAGATTTTTCCAAATATCAAAAGAAATTATTTTAAATTGTGTGTAATTTCTTATTTTGCTTGTAAGTTTGGTTATAGGTTGGGTAAAAAAAGACAAATTGTGCAAACAAATGATACTTGTTAGATTATTCATAATTTGCTTATGTTTTACTCAATTAAAGATTAGTTAGTTTTAATATTTAAGCACCTATTATAATATATTTAATGTAGGTATAGAAAAAACAGTTTTGATGTTCGTAAAACTGAGTTCATGACTAATATATCTGACCAGTTTTTACTCTCTTTTGTGTGAGGTTACTAGTTGATAATTTAAAGCCTTTATTTTCGCATTGTCTATTCAATATGTTCGGTCTTATACTATTTGTTTATGATCTTCTAACAAGAATGGTCCCGACCAAACTTACTTTAAACTGCAACAATCAGTTACATGTTATATGCATATCGATCCGGACTAAAATCACATTTTTTATACCTTTTTCTTAATACAATATCACTAATTGGAAACTCACAAAACGTGAGATAGAGGCAACATAAAATAAAATAATTAAGGAATTGCTAACAGCTTTCTCTCTCTGTCTTTTTCCACAGGCATTCCCACGAAACTCTCCATTGGTCCCTTACTTTTCGAGGGCAATCACAAATGTGACCGAAAATAGAACTACATTTGATGGGATTAAGAAGAAGTACTTCTCAAGCGACGTGATGAGTGAAGATGCAAGTACCTCAATGGCATTAGAAAGCCCAAACTTAACTTTAAAGAGCTTTGGGGGGCTTTACATCATCACATTGCTCACTTCATTGCTAGCACTCACGGTCCGTTTGTTTAAGATGATACATTCCAAATTCATTGCTCGAGACTTTCAAAGATCCCTTTCCGAGATGATGATTGAATTGGAAAAGCATTTCAACAAAGAAGAGAGCTCTTTACATTCTCCTCAAAATAGTACTCCAGGAATGGAGTAAGGTTCACTTGACCTTGATGCCACCCATGATCAATCATTGATTCACAATGAGGAAGATCTAAGACACAGTTAATTATGCCATTTGGTGACAAAGATAATATAATACTGAAATTTGGAGCAGTGTATATACAGTGATGAACTCCATGAATTACTCATACTTGAACTCCATAATATGGATGCATATATATAGAGTAACTCCTCTAGCTTAGTGAGCTGTTGATATCATTTTTCGGATTGTAGAGTTTACTTCCTTTTGGATTTACCTAGTTTAGTAACCCGAAAATTTATTTTGGACACCCAGAAAAGATAAAACCACATGCTAGCCACACTTTTAAAATTAATTTCTAGTGTTGACTCACTAAGTGACTTTATTATAATATTAAAAATAACAGATTAAAAATTGATATTTTAAATAAAAAGGGTGTGTAAAATGGGTAGTGAGACACTAAAGAAAGAAACAAACAAGAAAGAAGAGAGAAACAGTAAAAAAGAGAAAAAATGAGAATGAGGAGAAAGAAGGAAAATAAGACATGAGAGAGGTTGGCGACTCCTTGGTGAAGGCCAGAAATCTGAAGAGTGGCAACGGCAACGAGAGCATGAATTGGAAGATTGGGTTGGGGAAGGTGAGGGGTGGTGTTATTGATCCTAGTGCTCGATAGCTATTGATCCTAATGCTAGCCATGTTGTTCATCCTAGTGCTTGATTTGGTTTTGTTTTACTGTTTCATTGCAATTTCTATTGTTGCATTTGAATTCGTTAAAAGAATCCTTTCCCTAAGATTACGTGATAGGTTCAAGTTTAACTGATTTGTCTCCATGAAAAATAACATAGGTTCACTCCTATACTGAAAATCTAAGAGGAATCTTGGTGTTGTCCAAGTGTTGCTCGTGGTATTGATTCTAATTCTAGTGCGGTTGTTGGTCCTAGTGTTGATCCTAGAGCTACTTGTGGTGTTGATGATTACCGATGTTCAAATTCAAGTTTTGGTCGTGGTGCTTACAAGGGTCGATATTGGTATGCTTCTAGTCTTACTTTTGGATATGGAATTGATAGTAAAATTAGTTGTGGTATTGATCAAGGTATTGATCTTAGTCGTGGTACTAGTGTCGATCATGGTTGTTTATTGATAGTAAAACTTTTCCTTTGTTTTTTACTGCTATAATTAATTATGGTTGCTTGTATTAGTGGGTAAAGTTCTGCAGTAATTATGTTTACTTAGTGCAGTAGATAATATCTTGTTAGGTTTCTGATTTTAGGCAAATCTACACACTTAATGATGATGGGAACATGTGTTTTACTGACAGCATTTATGGGCTCTATGTATGGCTGTCATTTTTCATGTATTTGCCTTATATATGAATGAAAAACAAACAGAATAGTATGGTTGTTCAGCAAATACGAAATTGCTCTGTTCCCTAACCTTTCCTCTTCTCTGTTT